CGAGCAGAATCGGTTAACCTTATGATTACAGAAGATCAGTCTGAAATTGATGATATGGAGGAAAATTTCCAACAATTGACAAACCAACATTGTTCGATTTTGAGGACATCAAAGAAAACAGCTCCTTAAGTGATAAGCTAAATGAACAACAGATTCAAGAATTGCATGATATGCTGCTGAAGTTTTCAAAAATCTTTTCTAATAAACCTGGAAAAATTCATTTAATAACGCATGATATTCAATTGACAGAAAACACCCCAATCCACTGTAAACCATACAGAATGTCTCCTAGACAAACGGATATATTAAAAACAGAAATCGATAAAATGATTCAGCATAAAATAATTGAAATAGGAGATTCAGACTTACACTTCTCTCCTATGATTTTAGTAGAAGTAGCAGGGAGGGATCCAAGACCTTGTATCGACTATAGAAAATTGAATAAATTGTCTAAAACACAATTCTTCCCCTTGCCTAACATCGAACAACGGTGAGTAGAAATGGTAGCAGGCGCAAAATATATAACTCTTTTGGATTTAACAAAGGATACTGGCAAATACCTTTAACACACCTAATGCTCAAAGATTAGCCACTTTTGTTACAAGTTTTTGGCACATTTAGACCTCTACGGATGCCTTTCGGACTTAAAAATGCACCATTTTCATTTAGTAAAATGATGGCCGAAATCCTTCACGGTTGTGAAAACTTTGCTGTTCCATATTTAGATGATGTGGCAATCTTTTCCACCTGGGAAGAACATCTAAGTCACCTGAAAGCCGTTTTGTCCAAAATAAAGGACGCTGGTTTAACTATTAAACCAATAAAATGTAAATTTGCTCAAGATAGACTAAAATATCTAGGACATATTGTAGGTCGTGGTATAAGAATGCCAAGTGAAGTGAAAGTAAAAGCTATTCTTGATTTTCCAGTGCCATCCACAAAAAGTCAAGTCAGAGCATTTTTAGGATTAGCGGGATATTATAGTCATTACATTCCCATGTTCTCATCTATCGCAGCACCTTTAACAGAAACTTTGAAAGGAAACTTAAAGAAAGGGAAAATAAATTGGACAGAAGAGTGCACAAAAGCATTTGAAGAGCTAAAGGAGAAACTGTCTCAAAGGCCTATACTACATGCACCTGATTTCAATAAGGAGTTTATTTTACAAACTGATGCATCAAACTCTAATATGGGTGTCATTTTAGCTCAAAAAGATGAACGAGACAATGAACATCCAGTATTATACCTCAGTAAGAAGTTTACAGAAACTGAAAAAAAGTACTGTACCACAGAAAAGGAATGCGCCGCCATAATATTTGCTGTAAAGAAACTTCAATGTTATTTAGACGGGCATACTAAATTCCTCATCATGACCGATCATAATTCCTTAGTTTGGCTCAAAAAGTAATGTGAGTCTAAATCCACGACTTATGAGATGGGCACTAGTACTACAACCCTACAATTACACGATCGTTCACCGAAGTGCTAAAAACCATAAAAATGTAGACGCATTAAGTCGTACTCCCTGGCCTGATTAAATAATTTGTTTCTCTATATAGATTTAAAAAAAAAAAAAAAAAAAATTGTTCCTTTCTCTCTTCTTTAGTGTATGTTATGTTATTTCTTGTTTAATTCTCCTTTAAATGCTTGTATTTTAATTCTGTGTTGTGCTGATATTGTTGTTTTAAAAACCGTAAACTTTAATTTATAAAAATATAAATTAAAGTTTATCTGGAGGGGGGAGAGGTTGTAATATCTTGTTATTTAATAAATAAATATAATTATTGTTGAAGTGGCAACGCCATATTTGTATTAAACCGTTGCTCAGCAACGTGAGCTATTGTTATAAAAGATTAGTATTCTGAAGATTTTGCCAGCTAGGAGTAGTGTTAAAATTTTGCCACTTAAGAATTGTATAAAATTTGTCTATCACCGTGAACTAGAAATAAAATATATGTTATACTAAGAAGATTGTCTATTTTGTAAATTACTGCAAAATAGATTACAGTATCCATGTACATGTCAACCTATTTTCGCTTAAAAAAAAAAAAAAAATTGGAGAATTGCACAAACTTGGCATGCGCACTCCCTTGACTTTATCCATGTACACATCGATATATTTTCACTTAAAGGAGCACCCAATTCTAGGTAAAAGTATATTTACGGAACATTCAACTATGCAGATTACCATAAATGAAAACAACTTGGCGATAAATGAAACAACTTTGCAATGATACAAGGGGTACCCTTCAGCCTACTCTAACCATGCAAACTTAGGTTTTATTGTTAATAAACATTTTTAAAGGTTCAGTCAGTTAGGTTATATATAAAATAAAAATGAATAACTTGAAACATTCAATTCTAAATAGTTATTGAACAGTCAGTACTTTATTATTGTGGCTTTTGAATTTGTAGTTTTTTTACAAGTCATTTATATTAGGATTAGTTCTTGAAGATGCTAGCAAAATTAGGTGTTTTAGGTATGTGTAACAGGCTTTGAAGGATATTTTGATTTTATTATGTTCATAATCGAAAGCATTTGCTTGCAAACATATGATGATCTAAATCTACAACAATATCTGACAACCAGATCATATAAATTTGGAAAATTGCTTGTTTGTACAAATTTTTAAGATTCAGTATAATTTGGATAGCTTGCGGTTTAAATAAGTTCCTTATATTTGCTTTTTCAGTGTAGCATGGTACTATACATCCATAATTTTGATTTCGATTTCAGGTGGGTAATTTTTAATATCTTGCAGAGAAACTGAAAAAGGATTTGTAAAAAGATCAGCATTGTTTTTAATCATCTTGAAAATCATCAGACCTAAAGAAAACACAATGTGGAAAGCTAGCAAACACTACAGAGAAGGAGTAACTTGCCATCCTCTTCCATTTCTTCTGGAAAAAGCTCAACCATCATGAATTTAGTGCTTGAGCTCATATTTTGTTGATACATCATGCTGCAGTGTCAACTACTAAAGTCCTTGGTGCAAAGAGCTTCTTGATGGATAATACAATGATACTTAGAAAACATTTCTTCCCAGATAATTTTCAAGCAGTGTAACAAAGCCTTTCATTCTGCTAATGATGCAAGCCACTTCATCTGTGCAAACGCTATCTAATTTTTTCCACTGTACTTTGTTAACTTTGATTACATTTTTAAGTTTTTAAAAAATGTCCTCGCATGTAATTAAAACTAGTTGACGCAAATCAAGTTCTTCCACAGTATCAAAATTATTGTTCATGTAACACATAAATATGTTTAATTGTGCCTTGTCTGTGATGTCGCAGCTTTCATCCATAGTTATTGAAAGTATTTGCAGTATCATAGTTCAGAAACAATTTGTGTGCCAATATCTTGGCCCATGTCACCTATAGGATGCATGATGGTATTTCTAGACAAAGCTGTTTTATCAACCATATTTTTGATGTTTATATCACTGACATTTTGGGAAAATATTAAAAGGCTGTGCTTTATTATCTCCACTCTGTCTCATATTTGCCGTTGAAGTCACTGTGCAGTTGTTTGAGATGTCATCTTAGTTTAAATGTTTTCAACACTGCTACACAAATTCCACACATCAGACAGACAGGCTTTGGAAGTATTTTGGTGCATAAACAAAAATTTTTCTTCCGAGATAGTTTTAAAATTACGAATTCCAATATACTTCTCATATTTTCTTTTCAATGTCAAAGGTTTACTTATGGACATGGTGAAAAAAAAATTTAAAACAATGACGCTCGGATCCAAATTTTAAATAAACTTTAAATAAAGTCTTGCGTGGCAGTTTAAAGTCAACTGAGGCAGACAGCCAAAGTGTTGCACTCGCTTGAAAATGGACAACTATAGCAAGACACAGTAGCGCCAAAGCAAGGCAACTCAAACCATTGGGCTGATTATGACTACACTGTCTTACCATATTATTATACTGCTGTCAAGCAGTGCTGCTTTCTAGCGCTGTTATATTCAGTAGTCTATGCATAGGGAATTTATGGATTTTTCAGAAAGTTCCTAAAGACAACATTATTATTTAAAAAAAAATTTAAATAAGTTTTCTTGCACCACTGTTAAAGCACCGGTGAGCCACAGTGTGGTACGCATATCACCGGTTGGTCATGCATGTTTTCGTTATGTTTTGATTTGAAATTTAATCAGTGACTTTAAATTATTTCATCTAAAATATAGGAGATAATGAAAACTGGGAAGCATTACTAATTTCACAAGGATTAGTTGACATTTTGGTAAATTAAAGGTTGATGAAATTAATGCTTTTGTATGAGTCACTTGGCGAGCAAAATCTATCTATTTTAATATTTGTTATTTCAGATTATAAAATGAACACTGTGATTATTTATAGCCAATAAGAAATCCAGTATAATAAAGAATATTTTATTAGATAGTTTTTTTAAAATAACCAAGCATTTGAAACTCAGTACATTTGTTGGCCAATATTCATTGATCATTTAGCTATCTCATCACCAGTAATGTTACCCAGGAAGCACCACAGGGTGACCATATTACACTGTGAGATAAGTGTAATCTAAATCTTTATCCTAAATGTAATAGAGAAAATGCTAGCGGAATAGATCCAAGGGTGTCTCATTTCTTTAACCGTACCAGCAAATCTCGCAAAAAGATTTTCGGTTCACCTATATTTTAAGTTTTTCCATGCCACGTAAATTATATACTTACAAACATCCAAGCCTTCTCCAGGATTCAAACCCACGCTAGATGGCATAAAAGCCAGCATTGCTAACCACTATACTAATCAGAGTAGCTTTATTAAATAGTAATACAAATTATCAGTGCATTTTTAAAGCATGCTGTTACAAAAAAAATCTGAATAGTAAAGTTGCATTTTACAAAAATTCTTGAATTATTTATTATAACTTTTACTAATGACATTTTTCATATTATTAATGGTACAAGAAGTTTCAGACAAATTCTCAGCTATGTCTTAAATTATCTTCAATAAATTTTATTTCCTTTGCTTTAGTATAATGAAGACGTGAATGATCAGAATGTGACAAATCAAATTCGTAGTCGTCCGTTGCTTGTTTTCAATGTACAGCAAGAAAATAAACATATTCGGGAATTACAGCAAGAAAATAGAGAACTAAGAGACATGCTTGAAGAACATCAGTCAGTTCTTGAATTAATTATGAGCAAGTACAGACAGCAAGTTACTAAGTTAGTACACTCCACTTCTAGCGCAAATGCTAGTGGTTGTACAAATAATACTCAGGTAAGTGATGATTTTTTTTTCTTTTCTTTTTTGAGTTTATTTAATAAAGAGAGCAAGTTAAATAGTTGTTAATTAAGGGAAAACAATTTTACTATATTGAAAACTTAAATGTTTTGATATATCAGAAACAAAATTAAATTGCTCTAAGTTTTGCCTTTACAAAAATGTTATGCTATTGATGAAGAGGAATCTCTGTCTGATTGCCCTCAAAATCAATAAAGTTGTATTTAAATTTTATTCAAAGTTTGACAGTGCAAGGATTTCTTAGTTATTTACCTTGACTCCATACATACCAGTCTGCAATGCTGATTTCTCTATATAAATCTCTCATTTTTTTTTGCTTCATGAAGATTATTGCAACTAGAGTATTATAATTGCAATCTTGTGTATATAATTGACATATAAGGCACATTTCTGTCAGCACTTTATCTTCTGGCTATAGATGTGACTGGGTGGAAAAGCAAGAATAAGACATTAAAGGAAGGCAGGAATAACGGGTAAAAAAAAAGCAGGAATAAGATGTTGGCAAAATCAATTGAAGAATCATCATCTTTATTTTACACATCTCAAATCATCTCTTTGGCAAACAAATTACTTTTCAATTGTCATTGAATGCAAATAATTTTTATATACACAGGTAGAAAGATATGACGTCATTATAGGCAGGAAAGCATAAGCAGCGTGGAGATATTGGCATGGCGGAAGCTAGGAAAAAAGAGGGAGGAGTAATTGCTCAAAGCAGTATTTGGGCTACATAGATTCAAAGGCAAAGCCAAGCCACGATTGATCACTTTTACTGTTAGTTACCTTTCTCAAGCAGTGTTAAGTAATTTGGAAAGATCTTGAATTTGGGAGAACAGATGTCGCCAGTTGTTCTTAAAGCAGCTATCATATTTGTTATATCTTACATATATATATTTATGTATATAAGATAATATTAATTTTACATATATAGGCATATAAGACAATATTTTATGTAAGATATAACAAAATACGATAGCTGGTTTGTAATAATTAATAATGTTGACCTTAAAATAATAATAATAATTGGCGACCTTAAAATTAACGATTCTAGATTTGTTGTTCTCCCCCTAAATTCATATGGTCTCCCAAATTCGAGATCTTTCCAAATTACTTAACACTGCTTGAAAAAGGTAACTAATAGTAAACGTGACCAGTCGTGGCTTGGCTTTGCATTTGCATCTACGTAGTACAAATACTGCTTCAAGCAATTACGCCTGCCTCTTTTTTTCCTAGCTTCCGCCATGCCAATCTCCACGCTGCTTAGGCTTTCCTGCCTGTAATGATGTCATATCTTTCTACCTGTGTATATAAAAATTTATTTGCATTCAGTGACAATTGAAAAATAATTTGTCTGCCAAAGAGATGATTTGAGATGTGTAAAAATAAAGATGGTGATTCTTCTATTCAGTTTTGTCAACGTCTTATTCATGCCTTTTCCACCCAGCCATGTCTATAGCCAGAAGTTAAAAGTGCCGGATTCCTACTATGCATTAAAATATTATATATATGTCTATTGTTTATATACACAATGCACAATTTGTTACTGCAGACAATTTTGATATTTCACATACAGTCAAAAGTCGTTAATCCGGACTTGTCGGGACTTCGGCGATTCTGGATTATCTATTTTCCGGATTATAGATCATCTGGTAAGATGGCATGCAGAAATTATAAAATTAAAAATATGAAACCGTAATTTATGAAATAAAGAACAATTATGATCTAAAGGGTATCAAAATTTCCAAAAAGAAAAAGCTTAATATTTATTTGTGTACTTTATTAAACATTTCTTTCAATGTAAGTTGTTTAAGTTTTGCTTCGTTTTATGTGATAATACTTTCTCTTTAATTCTATAAACAGACATAATTTTTTGTTCAGTTACAAAGTTCCGCTGTTCAAGTCCTATAATTGCTGTGTTGAGAATACCGACTAATTTGTCAATCGAAATTTTTTCATTTTCAATAACCTCTGTGTCACTTTCTTCACTATCAGAAGCGAATTATAATGACAAGGAATTTGATTTAAATCATATGAAAGACGGAGTACTTCGAGATGAAATACTACATTTAGTAAGGAATTATAAGCCAAATAAAAACATCTGCCCTGAAAATAAGGATAGTGCTGACAGATCAACTTCCAATTCATTGTATGCCACAGTGTTTTGCATGCGCAGAAAATTTGTAGCTTTGAGGTCCGGATTATAGACCGTTCCGGATTATGGGTGTCCGAATTAACGACTTTTGACTATATTAAACATTACAGCTCTTCATGGCATGATGTAAATGTGCTACCACATTCGGCGCTTTGGCATGCATTTGGAGACTAGCTACCCGTTACCATATATAATTGCAGTCACATATATACATAGTTATAATGTAAATTCAATTCTTTATGAATAAAAGCTTTTTGCTCACATTTATATTTTTCAACAGGAATTGCAAAAAATGGCTGACACTATTTGTGAAATTGCTGATGTCATGAAGCAGGCTATACGAATAGATGACGTGAGTTATGTCAATGAACGTGAAAAACTAACAGAATTATTAACTGAAAACAAAGGTTTACGTGAACTTTTAGACATTAGCAGAACATATGGAACTTTACAAAATCCTCTGTGTGCTCCAGAAATGGTCGATAAAGAAATCCAAACTGACACATAAGATCTTGTATTTATGAGATACTAAACCGAGGTATGTTTATACAAATATACACATAAAAAATTTACTACAGTGGTGCACTTTTCAAAATTAAAGGAAAAAAGGTTCGAGATATAGACATTTATGATTAAGTTTGTGAGTATTAAGAAAATAATCTTGAGTCGAAATCTAGCATGTAAAGATTGCACTTCAAGAGTAAATGCAAGAATTTCTGTGTATGAATGAATATGTTTAATATTTGAGGAAAATTTCACTTCTCATGATCAGAAGTATGAGAACGTTCAGAACTTTGAGGAATTGTATGAGGAATTGTATTTTTTTCTCATAAAGGAAGATAAAGTTAAGGCAAAGAAGCGATCATTTTTTTAGAAATACGACTATAAAATGTTTAGGAAGATGCAGAACTCATGTATATAAATGAAAAGACACACACACACACACACAAAAAGCTTATTTTTCTGATACAAATGTTGATTTCAAAAGTTTTAATGTTTATAAAGCTGCAAAAATATGTTTTGTGGTAAGACTTACAAAAGTCTTGTTGTTTATGCGAAGCATATTATATTAACTTAATTCTTAAAAAAAATTATATATATAAATAAATAATTAAATATATTTAAAAAATTAAATTTTAGGGTTTCAATCATTAGTTTAAAAAATGTAGGGGAAAAGTTTATTAAGTATCACTGCTGTACATTATTTTCAAGAAATAAAACATTTGAGATATCTTGTATGATGTGATAAAAAGTCAAAGTGCCAATTCATTTCTTAAGCAACTGCTGTTGAGATTACAAGATATTATTTAATTTAGATAAATTCATATATTATTTATTTATTGTGTTAATAAATTCCTAAATATTTTTACCATGGTCTTTCAGTTATGCTAAATTTTCAGAAATATTTTTCTTTTGTACTTTATTATGCTTATTTATAAATATTTGCATTAATCAAGTTTCTTTATATATGTAGTGGAAGTATAAGTAGATAAAACTAAAGTGTTTTGATGAATTTAGCACTTAAACTGCTGTATATTTTACATAGAAAGCTGTATCCATTGTGAACAAACATACAGAAAAATTGAGTTTGCAATGATAAAATCTAAACAAACACACTAATGCTTATTTGTATACAATTTCTAAGTATGTTTTATTATATTTACTGAATAATTACTAGTATATGAAACTAATGTATTTTATACTCTCTGTTATTAATATATTTTTAAGACTGTAGTAGACAATTAGGAGATATATATGACTTTTTAATTTCGATATGTATCAGCATGTGACATATTAAGGAATCAAGATCTACATAAAATAATATAACTTTTTACTATTGTTCATGTACTGTATTATTGTGGCTAATCAGTTTGTCTCAAATTAAAACAGTAATCAAGTATATATTGCAACTAACTAAATACTTAAAAATAATGATTATGGTTATAAATGTAGGTTGTAAACATCAATAAATGTGAAAAATTTGTGAACTTGCTTAGATGTAAAAACAGCTGATAGCAATTACAGTCATTTGTGTTAATTTAAAAGCAGCAGATTAAGTGGTAAAGTTAGCACTTAATTATGAATTAATTTATTAATGTAAGTAGTATATGCATATTAAAATAATCTTTGACAGAAAAAGAAAGCACTGTATTTTGTACAGTACTTTATATTTTTTTGTGAGACTAAAGATCTGTGAAGGCAGTCATTGTCATAAATATATCTTGGACAGTATTTCTCATTGCAGTTATATACCTGTAAATATAGAAAAGTCTCCATACTTAAGTTAAATAAGCATTTATCTTGGATTCCGGGTATCCACATTTTTAGAATGGATAACATGGCCTTTTTGTGTTATCTCTTTGAGCATTGAATTGACTCCACTTTAAAGAGATGATTTTTCAGGAGAATGTTTGGAGTATACAACATCTAGAGGCATACATTTAAAAGATGTAACATTAACCATTTTTTTGAATGTGTCATATCTGTGGACAAAGTATGAGTATAGTGAGGAGACTTGTGTTGTTCTTTATTTCAGTTTTATTTTCTTTTGAGTATTAAAGAATATTGTGATAGTTTAAAAATAATGTTTAGTGCTATTTTTTTGAATTCATATATATATTCTGATGGATGTGTATAATTCTTTTAAGGAGAATTATGACAGTGCACCATGTTTAAATTTTAATGTATTTCTAATAAACAAGTATGTTTTGTGATTTTATCGTTTTTGTATATGTTATGTGTATGTGAGATGAAATGATTTAAATCTATGCATATGAACTGAAAAAGTATAATATAAATGCAGATTTAAATTAGTTGTTTAGTAAATATGAATGTTTGAGTCAAATTGCTTTCATGTATGAATATCTGAACTGATGAATTATTTTATGTTGAGAATATGTTTGTGACAAGAATTAAAATACTCAGGCTTTATTTTTGCGTAATGGCATTTTAAAAGTATAGTTTATGTCATAAGTATCCAATGTATAATATCCACAAACTAGGTATAATCTGCCTAGCTATACCTAGTTTGGCATTTGGGAAAATGACACAAAAATCAAATAAATGAGCCATCTTATTTCTGCCTGCTTATTAAATATAATTGAGTTGATTTAATGCTATTTTAATAATATATTATATTGGTACTTTTTTTTTTTCAGAATAATATTCTGTTAAATTATGCTTAATATATACATTGCTCAGAACAGTTATTGGATTGCAAACTTAGTATGCGAGAAAAGAATGTTTATTGTCCAATGTTAAAAGTAACTTTAATTTTTATCATTTATTAACTTTTTGAAAATTTTTCTGTTCTAAAATTTTACTCTTAGTTCCATGTAGAAAGGAGGATTTTAGGGAATCTTAAAACTACAGTTAAAAGAAATCACAAGGAGTTAGCAGTTGATCGAGTTGATACTTCCGATCCCACTGCTCGTTCGATCCAAGAGTGGCTAGTGAGGATGAAATTCTGCACTGCATCCTCACAAACACCTCTTGATTCACTCTTTGTTCCTGATGATTTTCATCAAAGTTATTGTTAGTTAGTAGTGAATCATTTAAAAAAAAATCTGGAATGTTTCAGATTTTAAATTATGTCCAAAGGGACTTTTTTTTTTTTTTTTTTTTAACATTTTGTGTGTTACATTTATTTATTAAATATCACGTTATTCGCACTTAAACCATAAAATTAAGTTCAATAGCAGTATCGCAAAATAGTTTTAAAATGAGCATATCTTTAGAATTTCTGATACAGAGACTTGCACGCTGGAGATAAAAATGTTTTTTCTGTACAATGTTGCCATTGCTCGCTTTGAAATCCTTGAGTTTGTTAATCAAAAATTCGTTTTTAAAAATAGGAAATCTAAATTAAAACAAATTTCAAATTTGGTCTTCTACATGCCCATATTCGTAGGAGGATTACATCATTCAAAATTCGATGGCTCTATGTACCGTTGTTTTGTCACAATGCAAGAAATATACAAACATTTATGCAGATTTTTCATTATTTAATTTTTTTAAATGTAACACGGGGTGATAATACCTTGTGGCAACAGTTTGAAAAGTGATTCGCCCTCTGTAGTGAATCGATGCAAAATTGCAAAGCGAAAACAATAGTCCTTCAGGGACAAAGCTTCTTTGGACTAAAAGCTTAGTTCAGGGAGCAAACAGTTTTGATCTGATCCCATAATTTTGCCCATTTCTAGCAAGAAGAAACTACAGTCTGAATGCCAGTCTTTTGCAACAACACTTTCTCAGGCTATTATTTCAACTCAGGTTGTTTGAAACTGACTTAACAGTGGACTATCCTGTTGCTGACTCAGAAAGAGGGACTGAAGCATCTAGGAGGCAGGATTAGTAGAGCACTGTTGTCTTCTCAAATGAGTGTATTCCTAACAATAGATGGCTATCATTTAGAGAGAATATAGCACTCATAATAATTCTGCACTGTAAATGAATCACCCATTTGGAGGAGGAGCAATGGTCTAGGCTGGTATCTCTAAAAATGACATACCAACCTGTAGCAGAATAACTAGAATGTGATTTACTGACCATGACCAGAAATAAATCACTAACAGCTTGGTGATATAGGGGTGAAATCCCCAGACCTTTTATTATCTGTTATTCTATAGCAGTCAGGGATGAATTCATTCTTGGAGATGCTGATACAGGCCACATCCTAGGCTTGCCTAGTGAACAATCTTTTTTTGATAAAAAAATCTTTGAAATGGACTGACCACCATGTTTCCTAGATACAAATCCATTCAATAGATTTGAAACATACTATGAAGAAGGGTTGCTGATGGCTTAGCATTCCTCGAAAACAATTCAACGGCTTGGAATCACTTCTCTATAGGAGTGGGATAGGATACTCCAGTCACTGTTCAAAAGCTTGAATAATTCTATGCCTCACAGATGTGCAACATTGTTTTTACTCAGGTGGAACAAGAACAAAATTGGATTATTCTTTACTCTGTGGATAATTTTCTTTGTAACATCTATGGCTGATATATCAGCTTACGAGATATTTTCTGATCAGTAATTTGTATGTAAAATCACAATATTTCCAAATGTTTTGAGCAGTGTATATGATAATTAATTTTTTAATACGATAATTAATTTTTAAATAATAATTTAATAATTTCATCTCCTAAAAGTAGAAATTTAAGCATAAAGATGGAATTTCTCAATTTGTATATGAATTTATCACTGAATTTTTTTATTTTCAGGTGAACTATTAAAAAAAAAAGGGAATTGAGAAAAATTCTTTATTCAGCATTTTTTATTTGTGAAACTATATGTATTTTTATGTTCTAAAAAGCAGTCTTTTGAGTATTTTAAGTAAATATTTGAATAGACCACATTGTATATGAAGTACCCTCTTGGTATAAATTTTCATAGATCTAATTCTATTCCATTTATAATACATCTATTCATTCCTCTTTGAACTAATATGATATTGTCGATTCTTTATGGCATTGATGCCTTCATATGACTAAGCAAATTCAGAACTTAAGACTGAATAAAATTTTTGCATGCACAGAAAAAATTGTGCACGAATAGAGATAAATATGGAACCTATTTATTTCTTGGTACCTAATACATAGTAATAACTATAAATTTGTTGAAAAAAAAATAAAGCAGTGAAAGGTGAAGAATGGCTGAAAAATTCTTATGCCCAGGCAGTTTGACTTCTTAGTTATGTTCATTTTGAAATATGATGAAGCAATCACAATATCATGGCATTTTCATTATTGAGTGATATAGTGGTTCCCTGGGCTGATTGTTCCATTTCCCCATTTAAAGCATGAAATTAGCCTTTGTGTGTTATCCAGCAAATGATTACAAGCTGTAATTTTTCTCCTTCTAATGTCCCATATATATGCTTAACGGGGTCAAGGTATGGGGAGTATATATGCTAATGAATTCGATGGATATCATCTCTCTCCAAGAGATTCTATTCTGCTTTCGTTTGAAGAAGCACGGTATTAGACCGCAAAACAATTAAACAATTCAGTAACTTCGTTACAATAGCAATTGCCCATCATGGTACCATTGTCCATCACTGTACATCCTTCTAATTATGATGCTGTCATCACCATTATGATGCCTTGTCCATTTCAGGTTAGATAAGTTGATCCAGTTGTAACTGAATCAGTTCTCATCAGAAAACAAAACATTCATTTATTGCTACATTGTCCAGTTTTGGTAGATCTAGCATTCATTGCAGATGCTTCTTTACAGTGTTATCTGGGCAATGCCATGAAGGTGATTGGCCTTAGCTTATAGCCCTGTGTAACCAAGATTTTTTTAGATATCCATTTTCCTGTGCTGTAATAGAGATGATTTGCAAGTTGATGAGCATGTAGCATCAATTGCATTTACATCTTCTTGTACTGTCACAAAGAAAAGCTGGCTCTTGTAGTGCCTCTAGAAAACATTCCAAGCCTTTGAAAGGTTACCCAAAAGTATTTAAGCAGTTCTGAACTCCATTGGTGATAATGTGGCCTTTTCCAAATTTTCTATCATCCTTTTATGTATAAAATCATTAATGATGTTTTTAAGAAATGGCGAAAATTTAATATTTGTAGATTTATTTTTTTATATTCAGAATTTCTAACAAACACTTTTATTGGTAATGTTGATTTCTTTTTCAGTCTATTTTTTATTCTATTTTAAGTTAAAATTTTTTTTATTAATTAATACTATTGTCAACTTATGCAAATATCATTTAAACAAGGCAATTTATTAAATATGAATGTTCCATTATGGTTAATTTTTATGCATTCATAACGAATGCTTAATAAAATGAGTATTTCTACAACATACCCAAACTAAATGTTCAAGAACCTCAAATGTATTATACCAATCATATGCATTTAAAATTTTGAGTTTACCAGTAAAATGTTTATCATTTTATCTGTATTGAGGACGTAAAGTAATCTAAGAATTCAGTTTATCAGAATTTATGGCCCAATTAGTGCCAAGTAAAACTAACTTTCTAATAATATCTGCTATTCTGTTTGGCCTGCACTGTCAGCTTTTAAACCATGCTTTTTTAAATGTATATTGTTTTGCATTATTAGCTTTGATGCATTGAACATTTATTATTCATCAAATAATAAAACATGCAGCAGCCTTTTCAAATTTTGGAATGTTGCTTTAAAATTGATAATGTTCTCTGCAGTATTGAAAAATGCAGAGACGTTGTTAAAATAAGAGTAAGAAATGTGTTGAAGAATGTCAGATGATTATATTACAATAACTGTATAATGTATTTGCTGTTTGATGTTAGGAATTAAGATTATTGAGATTTTGTTAAGAACTATATAAGGTAGGTAAAATTATCATAAATTGGAAAAATTTTTTAGAAACATGAATTATGGAAATTTTTGGTATAGATGAACATGTGTGGTATCCAGTGTCAGATTGCTACCAAGAGTTATCTTGGTACTAGCCATGATATGAAGCAGTGTTTAAATATGTAAATATTGAATTTATATATTTTTGCCTTGAGACTTGAAATATAGACATTTAGCTGTTTATTATTTAATTTATGCAACAAATTTATTTTGATAATTTAAACATTGCTCTTTTTTGAAAAATTTTCCTAGCTTCAATAATATCTATCATTATATTAACGTCAGCTGTTCTTGAATGCTTTACAGTGTTTATAATTAAATATATTTTGTATTTTTTATAGTTATGCATATTAACCATCGCCATTGTTTGTAACTTTTGTTCATTTGTAAATGGTATAATCATATTAATATGTATCAAAAACTGCAGTTTTTTAAAAAATAAAAACATTACTGAATCTGAATTACATTGGTATATGTGAGAGGGTGCAAAAATTATTGCACATTACATTGGTTATTTGTGGAGGGGAATGGAGTTATATACCTAGTTATAATGAGAAATGGAAAGCAAGTGTATGGGGTAATAGTTGGTATATACAATTGTAATATGTGGACTTGCCCAGTAAGTGGATAGGATGCTGAAAGTCAAGGTCTCCTGATCTTGCCTCTCTGGATTTCCTCTTTTGGAGTGTTGCTAAAGATAAAACGTTTCGTGTTCTTGAGAACAAAGAACAAGGGGGAACCATAATACATAATCTACCACTTTTAGTTATTTATTTATTTTTCAGAGTGTGGAACTAAATTTAGTTCTGTTTTCATCATTTTTTCCCCCACCAATTTATCACATGTTTGAATTTAAAAATAACATTTTAGTGACACCATCTAAGGAAAAAATAACTAACTAAAAGCATAGTACATGATTACCTGACTTTGCCTCAAAATGCACTTGAGAGTTTTATAGGAGTGCATGAAAGTCAAAGGCAAACAGTTTGAGAATTTAAGAGGTAAATATTCAAGAGAATAAACTGTATTGTTTTATAATTTATGATTTCTTTGCATGTTTCATTATCATGTGCCTACTTTTGCACCTTCCTATATATTAGGTAATTATATGTGAGTCATACTGATATAGTATATGTGTGTTTAGTAAATAATAGAAATGCTTTTGGTAATCTTTTTTGCCTTTATGGGAGACTTTTTAAGGAACACTTGCTTGTATATTTATATCACATATGGGGAATTATGCAAACTTCATATAGTCAGCCCATTCTTATAGAACTATCAATGTTTCATGGTTTTCATTAAGATACTTTTATTCTTAATTAAGAGTGTCTTCTGTACATACAAATAAAAATGCAATTTAATTGTACAAAGAAAAGAATTGTATGAAAATTCTTCAATTCATGTATATGTAAATACAGCTTCATTTGAGCATTGATAAAATAATAGAACTGATTTATTTATTTTTGGATACATCTATTATATTTTTCTTGCATTAGTTTCAGCAAATTAGTCAAACCGAAAAGACAAAAAGCTCTCTTTGTTACAGGGAAGTGTGACTGAAGAGTTTACAGGTAAAGGTGTTTGTGAGGGGGGGGGCTAGTATAAATATTTGCATTTACATTTTAAAATTTTAAAGTTTTATTACAGAAGTAGTATTTGTGCCTTCTCATGTCAGCATTAAAAATGTTGATACAGTTAATAAGAAATGAATTACAAATTGAGAATGGTTTTAAAAATACTGATTCATGGTTGTAAGAGAATGTGTTCATAATAAATGTGTACTGCATCATTTAAAGTATGTTTTAAAAAATACCAATTAAACAAATAAACTTTTCTTGTAGAGTTTCAAATTAATTCATAAAATTTGAATGATTAAAAGAGATTATTTTGAAGAAAAATTTTACCATGCATAAATTTAATACTTTTTTCATTTATGTTAGGTATTAGATACATTTTTTTCAGTTCAATCCAATTTATCCCCTTTCTGTAATTAAAATTGGTATTTTGGTTGTTTAATATAGATAGAAAATGTTATATCTTCTGTATATGTTGTAGATAATTATTATAAAATGTTGTAGATTTTGTAGGTTGATTTTTTGAAATATGTGCAGCTAAAATAAAATTGTAATGATTACTTATTTAAAAAATAAAAGGTGTGAATGTGTGTGTTATATATATTGAAAATATATATAATTTATAAAGTATGTGTATATATACATATGTATTACTTAAAGCAATAAAATGAACTTTCTTTTCAAATTATTTTGTCTTCCTCAACATTCATTTCTCAACATATTGTTATCTGAAAAATATAAGGAATACACTAAAACCCCTATTTCAATTCTTGAATGTATATTCATGGCAATATTTATTACTTTGAGGTAAGTAGGTGATTGACTATATAACAGAATATACATAGGTCCATTTATGGAGAATTTTATGAAATTTTTTTACATCACGCAATGAAACCGGCAAAGTTGAAATGTGACGGAGCAAGAAATCTGTTATCAATGTAGAGATAAATTTAAAAAAAAAATTTTTTTAACAATTAAGTTTCAATTTCTAAGAAATAAAACACAACTTTATAATTATTTACTTTAATGTAAAATTTTTGTAAATTTTATTAATGCACATATTGAATTGGTAATTGCTGTTAATGAATACATTGAATTTGTAATTTCTGTTAATGAACAAGCAGTACTGAATTCGGTACTGCTTGTTCATTTTGTTTATTATAGAGAATATTTTAAATGCATTTAAAAACTTCCTGCATAGCAAATGTTTCTTTTCATTTGTAAAAACCTAAACCTATCTTCAGTACTACCTAAGTATGTCAAAACTGGTTTCATATCATCTTAAATTTAGAGTTGAATTTTCAATGAATAAACTTCTTTATGAGTCAGAATATAAAGTTCCCCTTCTAAAATTTCTTTCTCAAGAGCTGGCACTATGCTTCATATTTCTTATTGTTCCTGCATGAGAAACTCGTAATCAGATGTCATATATTGATGAAATTCAGAATCTTCATTAACTAAATCAATGTGATATTTGGTTTTTAAAAATGCAGGATAAAGGAAATCTTGTTGACAAGAAGATAAATATATATTGATTAAAATAGGTTTCTATTTTACAATGTCAAGTTAGAATTGTTTTTCCACATGGCAAAATGCATTAGACCAAGTATATTCTTTAACAGGTTTGCTATCAACCATCTCATATATGAGCCATTTGGTTTCTTTAAACAAAGCAATGATGCATATGTGCAACAATGCTAGAGGCATAATTCCTTTATAATGTCTGACTGAAGTTCATAGCAATTGCACTCACATTAAGTAGTAATCTATAAGAAACTATGACTCATATTTGTGACAGGCGTGGTTTGAGGTCTGATGTGTTGTTTAAATAATATTAAAACTGTTAAAATAATAGTTTTGATTAAAATCTCCTAAATTCTAATATTAGAATTAAGTTTGGGTATTATTTTACAAAAATTGTGAAATACAAAAAAATTTTGTAATATAATACCATATACTGGTGTGGAACAAACAAATATTGATTAAACATTGGTTAAATCTCTATACAAATTCCTACAAATGTGTACATTAGGTTAAAACAATTCAGATCAAATGAAATCTAATAAGAAAATTATGCTGAAAACCAATAAGGATGCAGGAATGCAATTTGCACAGTTAAAATTTCTTTAATTCAATGAATTTTATTTATTGAAGAAAAAAACTTTTCGTAGGCTAAAAATTAAAAACAGTACAGTGGCAGGCAGCATTGTAATAAGGATATCATATTTGCTATTTTATTTATTTTTGAATACAAAATGTGTAGTTGAACTTTTTTTTTAAATCTTCAATATGTTAATTGAAACGATATGTGATCTAACTCATAATTATAGAGGCATCACAGACTGAAAATATGCTTTAGAACACTAAGCAATATGCCCTATGAATATATCTGAATTTTCCAAGGAATGCTGCGACGTGCATGGAATTTATCATAAGGAATTTCAATTCAGTCATTTTTATGTTGTCATTTACATTATAGATAACTGTTTTGATAGTCAATGAAAAAGGCCATAAATATATCTGGAAAAGAAGAAAATTTGTATAAAAAGTGGTTAATGATAGTGTAGCATCTGGCGACTGTTTGGTGATCAACAGAGCATGCTTGGCGCGTGTAGCCTCTTCTCTAAGAAGGGTTAATGTATTTTAGGTGAGTTGCATGTTAGGCTCTAAAGAGGAAGGTTGTAGATTTTGCTATGCTGTAAGAGCGACGTACTGCTCTGAGTTTACTATTATGCTTTGAACCATATTTTTAACAAATGCTCGTTTCGTCTTATTAAATGATGCCTTATTGAACCATGAAGCCATTACAGATAGATTCCTGTCTGTTATGCTAATTAACAGCTGTTATTTAGTTCTTATAAAATGGTAGCATTTGTAAGCCTGGATAGCAGCAATTCTTTGAAACGTGATAATATACTTCATACACAAGTATTGCGATATGTACTTAGGGAGCAATCACACCTGTCAATATCCATATGCAATCATTCTGATGTCAATATTATCCACAGGCTGGATGACAGACTGAGAAATACTGGAAATGTTCTCCCAACCAAAAGCCTTCATAAATTTGGTGCCAGGATTCAGTGGCTTGTATTATCACTGAAAGTTACAACATTGTGCTGAGTTGAAACATTTAAAATGGAACACTTTTGCAGTAGGCAGGTGTTCAACATGAGCAGTAGACTATGCACAGAATATTGCAGGCAAAAAGGATGTAATAGCCTGTATATTTCATTGCAGAATATTGCAAGGTACACTGCGTCAAAAAAACAAACAAAAAAACAAAAAAAAAAAAGGACAGTTCTATATCTTCTGTTCTGCTGGGCCGATTACGAAATTTAAACTGCGTTTTTCATGTCTCAATAGCATGACTTAGAACATGTATTATAGTTATATATAGCATTATTCTAACATAGGTATTTTATTACAAAATCGGACTTTTTCTGAAATGACATGTCAATTTTTTTCCATATTTCGATTCTACGACTCAAATTATGCCTAAATATTAAATTTTGTAAAATTCGGTGGAAAGTTAGGGAGAAATTCAAAAATTTATCTCGCCGCATTTTTTTCAATTCACTTGGTGAACTTCTTAATTTATAGCAACCTATCTTCCTTTGCTTTTTTTCATTGTAGATGAGAAGAAAAAAGTCATCGTTCATACTTTCAAATAATTTTGATAAGTGCGTAAACCACATTTGACGTTATTATCGCTTTAAAAAAAATCGTTATTATCGCTTGCCAAATTTCAAAACACGCCAATATGTAAACTCATGTATATCTTAGAAAATTTTGAATAAAAAATTAGTTTTTTGTAGGTATGCTTAGAAATACATCTATTTTAAAATGATGGTAAATAAAATACTTTATAGATTGTTTCAAAAAATTTTTTAAATTATTTAAAAATACAAATTTTAAGAATAAATCATAAAAAAATGGGCGAATTATTTTTGGAGTAAGCCTAAATTTTGAATGCTGGAAGATGGAATCAAGTAGTTTAAGAAAAAAAAAAAAGATATTAATAAATATATATCAAATTCAATTATGCAATTTTTATAAAACTTGGCAGTTTGGCATAATTTGAGTCGTAGAATCAAAATATGGAAAAAAATTGGCATTCATTTCAGAAAAAGTCTGGTCAATCAGCCCAGCAGAACAAGGAACCAGAGATATAGAACTGACCCAAGTGTACATATCCACAGGGCCGGATTTGACTTGATGAGGCCCTAAGCTGTTTGAGATGTGGCATCCTTTATGAGGCTGTGATACTATTCTTTAATACCATATTTATAGTATATTTTACATTTTTTACGGGGCTCTAAGCTATAGCTTGTGTAGCTTATACGTAAATACTGCACTGCATATCCAGATGAGTATGAGTGAATGGTTATTGTAACCTAAAGTTGATAATACTTTCATTGCACATGTCTTGTGTATGAGTAAAGCATGTTTCTTGTGCGATTGCATCTCCTGTAATCTGCCAACAGAGACAGGAGGTCACTTGGTTTGTAAGTGTGCTAGCCAGAATACTGGGCAATCAGTTTATTGGACCATATTTCCCGCTTCAACAGCTCATGTGACATTTATGTTTGATTTTTCGTGACATAACTAATTTCTTCTATGATGTACTCTTATCAGAATTACATGACCTGTGGTTCCAACATGATGAAGCTGTAGCACATTTCAGCTCTTGTGTACATGGTTGATTAGATACTGAATCCCCAGATTGCTGGATTAGATGTTGCAGCTTGGCTATGTGGCTATTATGATCGTCAAACTTGAAACCTTTGGATTTTTTTTTTCTGTAGGGCCATGTAGAGGAACTCATGTATTAAACCCCATTTAATTGCTTGTGTTCATGTTGCATTAATTTTTATGACTTCATGCTAATGTGTTCAGTGAGCCATTCTATGCTACATGCAAACATGCCTTGATATGCGTGCACTGTGGTCATTTTGAGCACCTTTTCGTACAGATATAATGCCACATGCATGTGTGATGTGTTCATGTTTCATATAAAACTTACTTTCTGTAAACTGGATATTTTACCTTTCACAAATTTTTCGAAAACTTTGAATTTCAAAGGTATAATTCTTGCTTAATCTTTATGTACTTTGATAAAGGAATCTTGATCTTGCCTTACAGGATTTAATATTATTAATATTTATTAGATATAGATTAGGAACCCTGTAAAAGCAATGCAAACAGAACCTCAGAATATTAAAACTGATTAATTTGAAGGATTGAAATGTGAAAACATGATACATATTTTCTGACTTAACATATAAAATAAAAATTCATTTTTAATTATTGACAAAACAAATTAATTTATGTGTAGTTGAAAAGACTTGAAAAAGAACTGATACATTTAATTTCAGAATTCTTAATTACATGATGAAGGGGAATTTTGGCTTGTACACTTAAGAAACTAAATTTCTCCTTTAGGCTTATACATAAAATAATCATTATATTTTAATGCAATTATATTAAATTCTATAATTGTTAAAATCTTCAGAAATGTTTAGATTCATGCTATTTTAAGAGTAACTAAAATTACTGTGATTTTATTTTGTAATATTCTTTCTGAAACATTACTGTTTCAAATCAGTTATTTTTGAAATATGTAAATTTTTACAGATTTGTAGAATAGTTGATATAGT